AGGCAGACCGGTCCTTGGAGTAAAACAAGTAAAACTGCTGCCTACTGGCACTTACGGTTATTGGGGTAACGTTTCATTGAAGGTTTTATCAGTGATTTTTAAAAATGAATTTGCAAAACCCCAAATCCATGCATTTGATCCATTATCAAACGTACTACGTCGCGTTATTGTACAGTATCTGTCAGTATTTGTATTGCGAAATACTTCCGTAATCTATGTCTTGCATTAAGCCCTACAATGGCTAAAGCTGACACTCACTGAAGATGGCAGTATTATTTAAAAACTCACGAATCATTTAAAAAACTAAAAATTCACCGAAACGTAATGTAACTTTATGTTATGCTTTAGCGTTAATTATCCAAGTGTTATTGTTTGCTTCTTTATATTCCACATTAGGTACAACGTTTTAAGGCTTTTTTTTTATTTTTTTGCAGATGAATATTCCAATTGATTTACGGTTTGAAACCTCAGTGGTGGAGTCTGTTCCTGAAATGGGTAACCGATATGCTATTGTGAATACTCGTTTACCGACCAATACAGAGGGCGCTATACCTAGACTTTGGGAGGTGCGCCACCTGATGGAAGATTTGAAAACCTCAGCAGACTCTGTAGTGATGTATGGCGCTGTACACTATCTGTTTAATCTTCTTCCACATGCTCTTGCTAGCTGGTTTTTTCGAGTTATACTTAGGAAAGCCACCTTAATTTACAGTAATCTTCCTGGACCAGACGATGCAGTTGTCTTGGGTTCCCATCGGTTAAAAAAAATCATGTTCTGGATGACTTCCAGCGCGGAAATTCCAGTATCCATTTCCGTATTTTCCTATGGAGGGTCAATAAACCTAGCTATAGCTGCTGATAAAATGGTTATTCCAGATCCTAAAGTGATCGTGAAAGAGTTCAGTGCTCAGGTACAGTGTTTAACTTTATGTTGTTAAATTTCAGAATACACGAACTTTAACAAAGGGGAGATTATTTTATTCGGGGTGGTAAAGTATTCATGGAACTTGACTTAGATAGTGATATATGATTGGGAATGTTCCGTATTCAGTTTACTTCTGTCAGTAAAACGCATTAAAACACAAAGATATTCGTATATGAAAATATTTGATACAATGCTTTAACAGCCTATTATTGGTGGGAGTTGGGGACAAAGGCGTATGCGTAAGTAAGAATGACTTTAAAGTTTTAATGTGAGGGATTCCCCTGTGAAGATACCGGTTTAATTGACTTTCAACTGAGTATGATGGCAACTTGGTTATATATATTATAGTGCAACAAACTTAATCATTCAGAATAATCTTTTCAAAATGTACTGAACCTTAAAATACATATTTTATATAATTGTGAGAAAATCAAATTGTGTACTGTGCTTATTTCTTTTTGAAACAGATTTTAAACAATTTTTAACAGTGTACATTTCACCTCAAACAAATATAAATATTGTGGAAGAAACTTGCAGTTGCTTATTTTAAAAAAAAATTCATACTACTTGGTGACGGCCCTCCGGTGGCATATTGGTAAGTCTGCGGACGTATAACGCTAGAAACCGGGTTTCGATGCCCGTGGTAAACACAACATAGATAGCCCATTCTCTAGCTTTGTGCCACAAGCAAACAAATACTTGGTGACGTATGGATCTAAGTATTTCAGGCCTCATGCTTTAGGCTATTGTCACGCAATAATTTCTACAACACAAATATAATGTCACAAAAGACCTAGCTCGTCAAGCGTAGAAATAATTAAATAGTATTCCAATTTGTGTTATAATTGTATATTCACACACATTTAAATAAAAACGTCTTCACATATTAAGTTCTTATGGTATCTCGAAAGAAACAAGTTTGAACTGTTTAATTCTGACTTAAAACTAAAGCTGTTAAGGTAACTGTCGTTTTAGTATTATTAAAGCGTTATGTATAGATGATGTGTGTTTGATATAAAATTATCTGCGAGTCAGTACTTGTTTCCTAACTATAGATCAATCATCTCTCCCGACTTTTGTCCAAGCGACGTATACCAGGAGAACATAGGCGGCGCAGTAGTTTCACCGCTGAGAGGCGTAGAGAAGAGATACTGAAGCCCCCTCTACAGCAGGTAAGTAATGTAATGAAATTATTAAAGTTGAATGAAAATATAGAATGCGATTCAAAGCAGTTGTTCTGCGTTATATGTAAATGTTCTTGTAAATATCAGGTTACACATACTGCATAATTGAAATATATATATACATATATATATGTGTGTGTGTGTGTGTATATATTATATTTGGGATTAAAATATCAATGAAAATAATGGAAATATAAATAAAAACAAGTTTCTTGGCGGTTGAAAACAATGTAGCTAGGGAAGTTTTGTGGAAATATCAAGAGTTAATATATGTATAATAGTCATTTGTACAAATTTGAATATCGTAATGCTTACTACAGAGAAACTGAAACGCAATGGGCCCATTTTTGACCGCAAGGTTAAAAAACTTCTGAACCAAAGTCGTTTGCCATCTTTAGTCTAAGTAGCATGAAGAACAATATAGTTTCTCATACCCACAATAACTGGTTTATGTAAAAATGTAACTGCACTTCGCTGTTTCAGATCGTAGTGACCACGTACTGTGATGCTGTTGATAAAATGTATTTATATTGAAACTCCATTGCACAACCATTAGAATAGCAGAGTTATTCATCAGGTTTTCTGATTTATTAACACCACTCTCTTGAGTTTGTGTTTTCAGATAGTTCTTGGTCGATTTTATAGCGATATTGTCATTTGTTTGTCACTATAGACCTCAACTTCATTTTTCTCAGTCTCTGGTATTTTACAGTTGTAGACATTTTTTTTTCAAATATAAATATCCAAAACTACGTACTTACTTTACAAAGGTCAGTTGGCCAGGAGAACGTGCAGTGCGGTGTTCAATTTTATAAGAAACGATCCATTTGAATTATGATTGCCTAGTTGGATGTTTGTTTGTTTGTTTGTAATTAAGCACAAAGTTACATAATGGGTTATCTGTGCTCTGCCCACCACGGGTATCGAAACCCGGATTCAAGCGTTGTAAGTCCGCAGACATACCGCTGTGCGACTGGGGGGGGGGGGGGGGCACCTAGTTGGATCTAATGTGAATGACGTTACGGTCACCATGCCGAAGCTTTACTATTTAAGTCTCGCTAAATATTAAGCCCATCTTGAGCCAAGTATATTTATTAGGTTTACCTGAAGAAGCGGCTTAATTTATGATAAAATATAATTTTTTTTAAGGAAATGGCTTGATCATTTTCATATTATATACTTCAGAAAGTTCTGTTCATATTCTGTGATTCAAAACATGCCTAAAAATAACACTTCTGTGTATTTTTAAATAAATGTCCAAACATTTTACTCTAGATTGAACAAAAACTACACGATGTACAAGACGAACTTAGAGAGATCACGCTTAGAATTGAAGAAGCCTCGAACCCAGACTGCTCCCCATCAGAATTCAGACAGCTAACAGCATCTCATGCTGTTTTGAGTACGAGAGTAGAAGAACTAAAGGAGGAGTTCTCCGAGTTATTGATGGAGCTCCGGAGACGAAAGTCCTTAGCGGATGGTCGAGTATCGACAGAGGTGCGTTTTAAACAACATTGGATCATTTGGTTTAATTGCATTAGTTTTATATAGCAGAATTAATTCTTTCTCGCCTAATTAGCTGAACCTTATAAAGTGTGTTCTTTAGGGAAGAGCAATCGTAAACATCATGTATTCTGCTGCGTTGTTGTTTAAAGGAAATGCTTTGGTTTCACTACTGGTAAGTATTAAAAAATGAAGTGTTTTAAGATATTGCTAATTTGTCTGAAACGAAAGCAAGTTCTTTAAGTTACCCTAAAAATTATATTTGATAAACATGGTTGATGATATGGCTGAGAACAGGAATGTTCAAAATTAAGTTACTGAATAATTTCTTATCAAGTGTCATCTAAATATAAAACTCAAAATTTCTGTTTGTTTACTTGTTTGTTTCCGCGTTCACTGCGCAGGTCACACTTCTCTCACGTGAAAGTGCGCAAAACAACAATTTTTCGTTGATATACGCGTCCGTCGTCTGCTACCGAACCGACAATTTTATAGTTAACATATACATTACACGAATAAATTCTATGCAGCCTTCAAACATTTTTTGGTAAGTTTGGGTTAACATATAATTTAGAATATAGCATCATAGGCCTATTGAGTTGTATATCTACTAATAAATCATATATTTAACCTCACACACAAAAGAAATGTATGCAGAATTAGAATGTCATGTGTGAAAAAGCAAACAGTAGGCCTAGCCAATAAAATAAAATGATGCCGTCTGCCATAAAACTGAATGCGTGAAAAGAATAAGGCTTATATTATAATACTTATTGTAATATGAGATTAAAGTCAAGTCGGCGAATGTATTATATTCTACTTTTTTTTTTCTCCTGGTGGTTCAATACCTGGAAGTGGATTTTTATTTTTTAATACATTATAAAATACAATATTGCATTTTGTTTGTAGTATGTTTCATACATCAATGTGAATATGGTATCACATTCATAAAAATTAATTAAATTTACATTAAAACAAATTGAACACAATATTACATACTTATTTAGGTTTGAAATTTTAATATTTGAAGAGAAATGACTGGGGATGGGGGGAATAGAGCTAGGATTATCCTGTTCGCTAGAACAGGTACTCATAGGTGTATAAGATAGTCTAAGTATTCTTCATAAGGGCCTATTTATCCTTGCCAGTGAAAGAAAAACAAAAATACATCGTCCATAAGGAAGTCCTGATTTAAAACAAGTTAGTAGTTTATTTTCAAAAAGCAAATCTAAGGTGTGTTTTTTTTTTCATAAATTCACAAAATATTTTTTACCTATGAAAATATGGAACGGGGAAGCAGAGAGAGTAGGGTTGTTATTTTTTCGAAAACCCGGGCAACGCTGGGTAACGATGTTAGTAATAAATAAAACAATGCAGCCATCGGTATTATTAGTTTTAACTTTACTTGTTTTAGTGTAACTCTTTGTTTCTGATTAACGAACAATGTTTAATTAAAAGTCAGAACTATTATTTCTTCTTTTGGTTGATTTATCGAGGAGACTAAAAACTGTTATGTCACACGTGATAATTATCACACCGATTTAAAATCATATCCAGGATGAAGATAATGATGGATTATTACGGAGGTCTCGTAAGAGGGCGTTATCAATCACAGGAAGAAGATCCAGCTTAAGTGCCGTAACATCGTCAATTATGTCGACATCTCGTCCTCTGACCACCCCCACAACTCCTCATCACAGCATTTGTGTACCGCCTAGTCCCGAAATGGACCACCCTGAGTCGCCCTCAAGTGATCAGTACCGGTCTCTTCTCCTTGGCGGATTACAAGTACGATTTTAAAATACTATTGTTTATCCTTTTCGTATTGTATTATATATGGCTTAGCATTAATGTATAAAAGAGATTGTTACAACATTTTTACCTGACCATGTAAATATTCAAGTTAATTAGTATAGTAAGATACAGAGCCGATGCTCATTCCTCAGTAAAATTTTAATAAAAAACATGCCTATAATATTTGATTATCGAAAGATATTCTTTAATTGCAATAAAAAATTGCTATGGTGAAACATTCTGCCACTTGTCTTAACTGAACTAGCACTCCAGTTTTAAGATTGTTTTCTAACTTGTTTTCCTAACTTGTGTTGATTTTTTTAACATCAAAATCTGCAGTAAAATGGTGTCATACATTATATCTATCTAAAGATCACCCACTTGAAATATTAGTAACTTAAACCTCGAAATACGAATGATAAATAAATCAAGAGTCGAAATATGTCGTAACTATTTCTAATTTTAGGAAAATTAAATAAAACAAGACTCATTCGACTGATATTTGTGATGTCAACAGTAAGTGAAAATGAAGTTACGTGTAGAGAGAATCATGCTGCTAGTGTTAAAAATGAATGTGTTTAAATAACACAAAGGTGACGTAACAGAGGATCAATGACTTCTATGTTGGTTGAAAATAAAAGTATGATTTTGTAACAAATGTCAAATACGAAAACAAAACATTCACACCTGTGCTTTATATTATGTAATTTAAAATTCATGGCTTTCAATTGAGTCGTTTTGAGACTGCCAGGTGTCTTCTAAAATTATTTTTTAATAAAAGTTAGATGATTTAGTGGAGATGCACAAATGATAACGACAACATACTTTTAAATAACACGCATCGCAACAGAACATGTTACTGATGTTTTATTTCATAATTTGAAATAAAAATAAGAGTTGTATATTTAAAACTTATCACAATTCTAAATAGACCTTGTAGAAGTCATAACCGTGACAGTTAATCCACTTATTCAAATAAAAGTAGCCATATATATACTGCGAGTGCTGCTAGCAGGCCTTGTGTCTCAATTAGGGATGTGTTCGCTTGAACCTTGTGGTCTCTAACCTGGCTGTTGGCTTCAGCAGATAGTCCATTGTAGCTTTGTTACATCCCTAATTGAGACACAAGGCCTGCCAGCAGCACTCGCAGTATATATGGCTACTTTTATTTGAATAAGTGGATTAACTTTTATTCTAGCTTCGCTTGAACCTTTTGATCTCTAACCTGGCTGTTGGCTTCAGCAGATAGTCCATTGTAGCTTTGCTCTAGAATAAAAGTTAATCCACTTATTCAAATAAAAGTAGCCATATATACTGCGAGTGCTGCTGGCAGGCCTTGTGTCTCAATTAGGGATGTGTTCGCTTGAACCTTGTGATCTCTAACCTGGCTGTAGGCTTCAGCAGATAATCCATTGTAGCTTTGCTCTAGAATTAAAACAACAACAAATGACACACAAGAAGAAGAAACTACCGAAAATACATTTTTTGGCAAAGAGAGGAAGAATACCCGGAGAATAGTCTGAATCTCTTAAAACAATAACGCGGGCATCAGTTAAATATCATAACATCTTAAATCTAAGTATGAAATTACTTATTCGGAGTGAAATATATTTGATAAAGGAGATTTATGGTAATAAATGTAATTAATTAAGACTCGGAGAATGTGCTTCTGAGTTTAATTCAGAGTCGAATCTGTGGAAAAACTTAAATTTAGTTTTGATGCCCAGGAGGTAGAAATGAAGAATTTAACATTTTATGTGAAAAGGTAGAGAATTCTTCTATCCATAAAAGAAATGATTTAAGGATAACATCACAAGAGAAGAACTACAATAAGTATTATGTAATGATGATACTTTTCTGCAAGAAAATAAAAAGATATGAAGACTTGGTTTTTATTGTTATGAATAATTCATATTACAAACACGTTTTTTTTTTTTTTGGAAATTTGGATTAGGAAGACATTTATGAAAACAAAACATCAGATACAAATAAGATACCTGATAAGGTAAATATAAAGCTGATAGACTACGGAAAGTTTAAGGAAAAATTAATGAATAAAGAAGTTAAATATAATTTTGGTAGTATTTCTTTTGTTTACCAAAATCACAAATGTGAGACCTTCCACGAAATATTCACTAAAGATTGGCATGAGCACCTTTTTATTTAAATGATCAACTATCTAAAATATTGGGAGGCTTAACTATGGGTGTAACAATAAGGTTATGGACACCTTAACAGTTTTTCGTGATATGATATTAAATGTTTCTTATTAAAAATTATAGAACATCATAAGATGGGGTCATATGATATCACAGTTAATTATAGAATATCACAAGCTGGAATCATTTGATGCCACAGTTAATTATAGAACATCACAAGCTGGAATCATTTGATGCCACAGTTAATTATAGAACATCACAAGCTGGAATCATTTGATGCCACAGTTAATTATAGAACATCACAAGTTGGAATCATTTGATGCCACAGTTAATTATAGAACATCACAAGTTGGAATCATTTGATGCCACAGTTAATTATAGAACATCACAAGCTGGAATCATTTGATGCCACAGTTAATTATAGAACATCACAAGCTGGAATCATTTGATGCCACAGTTAATTATAGAACATCACAAGCTGGAATCATTTGATGCCACAGTTAATTATAAAACATCACAAGCTGGAATCATTTGATGCTACAGTTAATTATAGAACATCATAAGCTGGGGTCATATGATGTCACAGTTCTCTTTTTGGGATTAATATGTTTACTTTTAGTCTTTGATAATTGTATCATCAATTTTAGTGTTTAGTTCGACCTTATGGGCAGGTAAGGCAGCCCCTACATGAGAAACACATGTATGGGCTATTTGTAAAATATAATGGTTGATTTGTTACCACATTATTTCAAAAGAGAGTTTACTAAGTTTCCAAAACTGTTCTAAAAACGTTTTATGGGTGATTGTTTTGTAATTTTGAACGTTTTACTTAACTGGATAATTCCTTTCAGCTAGTGAATGGTATGCCAAACATCTTTCATTTTCGAATACAGATATTTACAACAACCATCTTGAATATACCAACATTATTAGAAGAGTAAAGATATTGTTTAAAAGAAATGCCATTGTTCTGGGTAATTACCATGGGTTTTATAATTTATTTAGAAAGGACTTATTTCCCATTGATCAAGAACCAACCCCCCCCCCCCCACCCACCCACACACACAGAATGTAAATTTGTGTATTAAACAGCCTAAAACTTTATACAAAATATTTACTGTAAAGGTTACCTTTATGATCCGTGAAAAAAGGTATGTGAATGGTATTTGTGACTTCTTTCGAAGATCTTAGATTAAAGAAAACGTATTCGTGATTCTACTTGTGAAATAATTTGTCGTGTTAATACCCGACATAATTGTAATTCCGAAATTTTTTTGTATGCATTTAACTGTGTGATATGTCATGAGATTTATGTTGAGGAAACTGTAAATGTAAAATTACGTATAAACTTACATGGTTATCTTCCACAGTAATCCTACATTTCGCTCTCTTCAAGCACGTAAATTTTATAAATTAAACAAAAATTATACAGAGAGCGTGATTTCAACGAACTCTATATATTTTAGAGAGAGCCTAGAGTTAAACAGATTTAAATTAGCTTTCGGTACAGAAAAAATTCGAACACTGTAACAAATACAGAATTTAACTGATATAGCCTCTTTTTTTTTCTGCTGGTTTTAGTTGATATTTGTTCTGATAGTTACTTATAACTTTATTATAATACTTTGTATATAATTTCTTTCAAACTTGGTTATCCTATTTCTCGTTTACTCTTCGTTGGAATGACCTCACATTTATTGTTATATGTATGAACACTAAAATAAATATTATATTATAAATCATAATTAAATCATACAATGCCTATATGACTGAAAGATTCCAAAATTTAACATATGGAACTTACGTGACACATTGTTCACATGTTGTGTGCATACAAAATAGAAAAATAAAGCGTATGTAAAAACTTACATTGTTACCAGAACATCTCCTGTATAATACTGTGTAATATCAATTATGCTTACCCTTACTTATCTGAAGGGTTGGACTTTAAACCTTTTAAGTCACTTGAAGGGAAATGCTATGATGGTTCAGGAACTGATGACGTAGTATAATCAAATACTCTTACTATTTTATGTTTAACCACTTTCCAACAAGCCAAAGTACTACCGTTTCATAAAATATCGAAAAAGTATTTAAGATTTAGACATTACGTATCAATTAATAGTTATACCATTGCTGGAGAGTACAAAGTCACATTAGAGATTCTAATTTTTTTATTTTATTTTTTTTTCAAACAGGGACGAATCAACTTTCACAGTCACGAGGAAGATAGTGTTGAACGGATGTGTTGAAACTAGTGTCATATTATCAGAACTGAACGGATGTGTTGACAGAAGTGTCTTATTTTCAGAACTCAACGGATGTGTTGAAACGAGTATCATATTGACTCAGTTGAACGCTTGTAATATTGTTTGAACTGAACGGATGTGTTGAAAATAGTGTCATATTGTCTGAACCGAATGGATGTCATATTTTCAGAATTGAACGGATGTACTGAAAGGAATGCCATATTGTGTGAACTTAACGAATATATAAACTGATGTGTTGACACGAGTGTTATGGTAACTGAACTAAACAGATGTTTTGACACAAGTATCATATTTTCAGTGAACTGTTCTTCGTCAACCATGTAATCTGTAGTGCTGAGCTTATGCTGTATTCAAGGTTAGGTAGGCTGCTTTACGTGGGATTCCCTTGTGATTTAAGTTTCGGTACTTAATGTATTTTGACGGTATTCTTTAAAGACTCGTGATACCAAGAACTTAACAGATTCTCAAGAAGAGAAACGAAAACCAATTACAAACGATATAGTCAACCATACAACATATGAATTAAAGTTGACATATTAAAAAGTACTGATGTGTGTAATCATTTTAAGGATAATAAAAGTAGAAAAATACCAATTAGTGCAAAACCTAAGAACAACAATAAATGCAACTGCCAAAAGGTATTAATAACACGTAATTTCTAATGCGAGTTGTAATAAACGTTAACATCTTATCATGGCTGCAGGGCCGTCTGGACAAAGCCGTCGAAAGATTTCTTTCCCTACGTTCTCGTACTTGCTCCTTCCCTAAAATACGAATTATTTTCATAATGTTTTAAGAACACCAGCAATTATGAAGTAACATAATTATTTGGTTCGTCTGATGTCTACCACCTGTTAATAAGGTAGCATTGGTCGTCTGATGGCTACCACCTGTTAATAAGGTAGCATTGGTCGTCTGATGGCTACCACCTGTTAATTAGGTAGCATTGGTCGTCTGATGGCTACCACCTGTTAATTAGGTAGCATTGGTGTCTGATGGCTACCACCTGTTAATGATGTAGCATTGGTCGTCTGATGGCTACCACCTGTTAATAAGGTAGCATTAGAAATTATGCGTTAACGATAGTCGTGGATAGAGATACTTTCGAATTTATAGTATTATAAAAATATCGGTTGTGTAAATTATTTTGTAAAAACTAAGTCTGGATTTTAAGTGTACTTGTTATATTGAATTCAATTATAATTTTTGTCAGATACTCAGATTTACTTGAATAATTGTGGTTCTTTCTCCTTTATTTCTTTTTAAAGTTTTACAAAAAAGGGGGAATAAGTGAAAGAAAATGGAAGTAATTTTTTTTTGGTCAAATAACTGAGTTTATCACATAGAAATATTTAATTCTTATTATTCACTAACTGATTTGGCCTGCCAGTTTTTAGTATTTTTCCTATTGCTAATGTTTTGCTTTTCGGCTTGTTTTTTGTACACAGAATCGGTTCACGGAATATAAACAATTATCAACTAAAACTTCCAATTAGTATATGAGCTATTCAGTTTATTTGTAACCGGGATTATTTTTAATGAAATACTTTACCTTAAATTCGAACTAAATAAAGTGAAGCCATTGAACTTTAAATATAACAACGACATGCTAATCGCCTCTATTTTTGAATGATAATGGGAAGGTCGGCACAACTCCTGGGGTTTGAAAGTCACACTCTTAAAATGCATTCACGATCCCAAAGTACGGAAAGCGATTTTTCTGGGAGGGGGAGCCACTGAACGTCAGCTGCATTTGGCCGCGCTCATTCTAAGCTATAACTAAAAACACTTTTATTGTAGACTCGTCAACTGAAAAACAAAACAAATTTTGAGCACCTTATCTAAAAAAGGTGTTTAAAGTCGTCAGTAAAAATAATGATGAATATGAGCTATCTATCACCTCCATACCGTGACGAAAAATTGAAACTATATTTCTCATTAACCAACAGAACAATATATTTTTACCATCTGCTTAATATCAGTATATCGTAGTAATACTCTTCTTTCAGGATTGTCGTTCACTTCAAAATACGAAACATTAAATATGTCCTTATTAATGAGCTGGTCTTAAGAAGTGACAGAAAACATTTTGTCTAGTTAGTTTAAACCCAGCCTGAAATTTTAATATAATGACCTGTCGTCTTAGAAGCGGAAAATATTTACTTTTTGTTTTGGAATTATGAATTATATATTTTGATGTTGTTTTTTTTTGTATTCCTTAACATTCTATTGGTTAGCTGTTTGTTTAACGCTAAGCTACGCATGGGCTACCTGATTTTAACTTCGTAAATTTGTAAAATTACAACTGACCCACGGGAAGTCTCCTCAACAGATTATATGCAATAAACTATGTTTATTATATCAATTTCAGTACCAGCAATGTAAGTGAACACCAGGAAAAATGTAAATGTCGCTTAGAAATGAAATTAAAGACCATCATCGTCATTAGCATTATTTGTAGTTTCTGTTGAAGCAACAACACTTTTGGTGTTTTTAGAACCAATTTTTTTATTTTTTCATCTGAAACGTCTTTTTATTACAACTGATAAACAACCACTTCATTTAATTAAAAACTACGGTGGCAAATAGTGTGATATTTTCAGGGTTTTTTTTTCTCAGCTATTGCACTACCAAACGCCCCCCAGTGGTATGTCTGCGGACTTACAACGCTAGTAACCGGGTTTCGATACCCGTGTTGGGCAGAGCACAGCTAGCCCATTGTGTAGCTTTGTGCTTAACATCAAACAAACAAAGCACTACCAAACAAAATGATAGCGTCTATTAAAACAGCGGCAGGTATATGTTTACACTGTTTATGAATTACGTATTCTTTCTTGATACGTTTCTACATTTATTATTAAAAACATATTGGGGAATTGTTGGTGATCTTGAGTAACGTTTGTTTTGTGTGTGTTATGTGTAATAAAATGGGGTTAACCAAGATAAATGTGTAATAAAATCTTTTTGGAAAAACTATAGTGTTTGTAAGGGATCAAAATAAAATTTACAGTTCTCGGTGTGTGCTACTAAAACCGTATTTATCGTTATTCTTTAGACCTATATATACGTCACATCATCTAAGTAAAGTTTTCACTGGTACATATCTTTAGATGACTGGGTGTTGAACTAACACGTGTATCCGTATTTGTGTTCACTCGACTTGCATAAACTTTACCATACAGTGGCGACCCATTCAAGATTAGGAGACTTGACAAGAGGTTTCATCACATAATGTTCAATAGCGTCAGCAAAAAAACGTTACCTGCATCACTACGAATTGAGTTATTTTTGGATTAAATGAGTTATGGGTATTCTGGCAATGGAAATAATGTGTTCACTGCAGGCATGATTTATCGGTCGACTTTATCTGCGAATCTTAAAGCAGTAATCATATCGATGTTTTCATGTGGCTCACCCAAAACCTTGTGTAAACACAACGTTTAACATTAAAGATCTAACATACACTTCTGATGTAAGCTTACAATTAGAAGGAATGCTAGATTTATAGCTCATTAAACAGCTTCGCAGAACATTACATGACAGTGAAAGACTGGATTTGAGTTGTTTTTAGCCAACTTTTTAATAATAACTTTTCTTACTCGCCAATTATTTCAAATGTTTTAAGGAAGGATTATCCACAATTTTACTTAATAAAACCTAGCAAAATTATTATTTGTTTAGCACATCAATAGTGTTATGTTCATCATGTGAATGTTTATCATCTCTAGGATTGTTTCATATTAGTTGTTTGTATTCAGTTATCCTACTTCTACAATATCGCTCTCCTCGGATATATATATATATATATAAACGTATTTGCAATCTAATTATTGTTTTAAATGATGCGCTGTGATAGCAGTTTCACATAATTCATCTGGTCTCTGTAGCAGATGGCGCCATTTTATAACGTATAGATAAATGTATATGGAGAGGGAGACACTGTACAAGCGGCATCAGTTCACTGTTTCATAAAAGTGACAAGTGAGAAAAGGGCGCGTTATACAGGTGTCAGGATTAGGGACTATAATATAGTGTCAAAAAAGGAATGCATATAATAAGTTGAGCAACGTCGAAGCAAAATATGTTGAAAATGATACCGTGCCGATAATTTTTATTTTTCAACGACATGTTTGTAAATGTATAACAGTGTCATTTGAAATACCAATAGACTTAATTCATTCATCACGGGTCTTGAAAAGAAGTGAAAAATGAGTTATCAAGTTTGTTTTACGTCACATCATCTATGTCTTGAAGTTGAACAATAATACCTAGTGGACAAAAAATGGATGTGTTTAATAGTTTTCAGACTATATTAGAATTAGTGCATTAACATTTTAACACATAGCCCAGGGAAATAAAACCCTGCTCTATGAATTTATAATACTTACTGGATTCTGTATAGGAATTGCTCCACACACATAAAACTTCCTGAACTATATGACACAACACCATATACAATTACATTCAATCAGACAGCTGTATAGTTTCATACATATGGTTTCTACAAGACAAGATATTGATATCCACATAAACATATTCATCAATCGAAGAGGTAGTGAATTTGTGCTACTGAATACTTTATTGTAAAATAAATTAAACATGAATATATATATATAAAATAAATCTGAAAGGTAATTAAGAGACTTATTGCTACAACTTAAAAATCTTGAAACTTACTTAACTACTTTTATAACATTTCATTACATAGTCTGGCGTGACCTCATAAGGTTAGATAAGTTATATGTGGTAATACTGAAGGATAAAAATAGTTTATGCGAACGATTTCCCAAATCCTATGTTGTCATTGAAAGTACTTCGTCTATCGTGTTCAATCTGATAGCCATGGTGACAGACTTCACAAATTCCACGTGATAAGCATCTGTGAAGGACGGCGAGGTCAATCTTTCTCTGAGTGTTGACCTCAGCATGTGAGAGAGACAGTTGGCTGAAGAACAGGATGGTGGTGTAAAGTATGGTGGGTCTAAGACTGAATGGAGCAATCTCAACAAAATTTGCATGTTATTGCTGGTCAAAGTGGATTCCTGACTCTAGTAAGTACCTCTAGTGATTGATCAGGAGAGACCAGGAAGCTGTTGGTGGATAGTGATCATCAACGGGAGCTGTTTAGCCAGCAGGGGAAGGACCAGTACAAATAGGTTAAGGTGGTGAGCTGTAGGACAGCTTTGAACTTTTATGAGCTGGATGTCCTACTGCTAGGGCAACCATTGTTGTATGAAGGAGCTTGAAGTCATAAATCATTTAGCATGATACCATGCTTTTTTGTGACTTGAGAGCAGGATCTAGCACTCATCTGAATGCATGGATTTTTTGCACCAGCCCACCTTGCTGTATCCTTACGAGTCACGATGACTCATTCTGACACAATTTGAAAGTTCTAGGTCGGGAGGCTTACACAGGATCATGGGAATTTGTGATGGAGACAAAGCATATCCTACCTCTGACATTTAAGGTAATTGCAGAGGAAATATATGAATTAATCAAGGATTTCTGGCACTTGACTGACTGAAATGGAATCGGCTTTGTAATGACTGATTCTGAGTTTTGATGTGCTAGCCCTTGATGACATCAAACACAGTTTCGGGACTGGAA